CGTTGTCTTTCATACTGAATGCATTTTGTTGTAGTTCGAATAAGGTGTAATCGTAGGTCTTAAACAGATATTGTCTTTATTTACACTTAATTTGTACTGCAAGCTTTCTTTATGTTATATTGCAGCAACATAGGTTATTGGATTGGCTCATAAGCTTCAGAGGGTGGTCAAGGCTTAGGTTGTAGATTGGTTGATTACCTTGTAACCAAGGTTCTCTGAGTGGAGAGAATATCTTTCTGACTCCAGGCCGCTTAGAAAGATATTCCACTCAAGGTTAACCAAAGACGCTACAGGCACATAGTGCTTTAATCGCTACAATGTCAATTCATGTTATTAGACCACCACATGTGCTTTGCCTTAACAAGTACACACACATCAGCTGCGCTGTGGGGATCTTTCCCTTGTTACACACATCATATGTAGGTTAGAGAGTCTAAGCATGATAGAGAACAGGTTGTTGGCAAACCTGACAGTCACTGAACCTCAAGTTAGTTTTCATGATAATGACTCGTTTTCTATTGGCATGTGATTTGGTGAATGAAAAGTATATTCTAATGAAATAGACAGAAATATGAAGCTTAGCTGTATGTTCAAAAGGCATGATTTAACTGCACACCATTTAAGTGTTAAAAAAATTTTCTCACTGCTGCACATCAGTTGCATCCATCCAGTTTCGTTAGAAGTTATTCAGAACTTTGTTCTAGTATCTATAATGTCTGGCTTTAACATTTCTATATGCTTACTGGTTGTAATTTTAACACATGAGATATTAAGAGTTACACTTGAAGGCATTGTACTTATTGCTTTTACACAAATTTGAAAAGGTAGACACAATTCCATTGAAGCACCTCCTAGCTTATTTGTCTAAATTGTGGCTCCTCAGGTTGTTGTTGCCAGGTGGAGATGTAGATCTTCAGACGTCACAGTTTAGTCGAGCTGCCAAGATCTTTTACAACTTGGCTCTGAAGGTATGGGTTTTGATTTGTTTAACTGTCTATCAGGACTGACGACCCTGAGATTTTTTTTTTATATATCTAAATCTTTAGAGCTATCTAAAGATTTAGGCTTAAAAATAATGGCCATTGCCTTCATGTATTGGTACCTTGTCTTTATTCACTCCTTGGTCCTGCAGGGCAATGATGCTGGAGACTACTTCCCTATTTGGGGAACCTGCCAGGGCTTCCAGCAGCTCACTGTCCTGACTGCCAACAAAAACCTCCTCACGCTTACTGATACTAAGGCTGTGGCTCTACCTCTGACACTCACATCAGGTTTTTCTGTTACTTTCTGTTATTCCATTTGGTTATTTTGTCAGGTTAGATACAAGTTTGCTTACATTCTTTCACAGTCATTCAAATTAGCATATTTTTATATATTTATTCCATGAAAATATACTCCTTGTCATTCTCTGTGACACAAATCTGTATCCATCCGCTAGTGGCCCCATCTAGCCGATTATTCCGGAATTTTCCCAAAGATTTGCTGCGGTCTTTGGCTAGTGAAAACATCACTGCAAACTTCCACAGTTGGAGTCTCTCCATGCAGGTAATTTCTGCTTCTTCTTTTTTTCTTTTCTTCCTGTCATAGGTGAAGTTTTTGTTTTATTTTTTTTTTCTGAAACTTTTAAAATGTTTATTATATACCAATCTGTTAATGGAAGTAGAACAGGTTGCAAGGGATCTGTTTGTTTTTTTCCCTTGTTTTTTTGTTTTTTTTGTTTTTGTTTTTTTGTTTTTTTTGGGGGGGGGTTCTTTTAAAATACAGTCTCATAAGTACCATCGTACTTAAACCAAGAAACACCTGAAACACCTTTGAAAACTGTCCTGAAAACTGTCCAAAATTACCCAGGGAAATTGGATATTACTACAAATTTCTGGTCAAGTACTTATGGGTGGAAAGTAAACATAAGCATAAACTATGTTTAGTTTTCTACTTTAGCATACTAACATGACAGTGCACCTCAGCAACAAAGGAGCTGAAATGTAAGCTTTTCTTCCATGAATGTGTGCCGATAAGAAAATTATCATCTTCCACATTGTACATATAATTTATATAAATGGAGATTGAACATGTGCTCTAATTGCTCTTCTTTTGACCAAATAAATTATTGGCTTGTATCTCAAATTTTGGTGTTGTTAGAAATAAATTGCAAACACACACATGAAAGGTCTGCAGAAGGTCCAGAATGAGGCTCCACATTTGTCTTTCAACAAGTCTAAAAGTGGACAGATATTGTTGCTCCTGTCAGCCACCACACGGACAAGTTCTTGTTTACAGATGATTTATTCAGCGTTCAGTGACAGGATCACTCAGCGTCGTCATCATCGTGAGAACTAACCAAACAAAAGCAATTCAGCAACATCACCGTTTCTTAAACATAAAAGATAATACTACTTAGATTTTAACACACATTAAGTGAAATTAAATAACTTAACTGTATTGTTGTAAACATGTTGCATGATGGTTATCACAGTAAACCCAAACAAAACAAAGGTGTAGAAACAAATGCCTGTATATGGCAGTTTCATCGAAACTCAAATTAACAAAGTCACCCTAAACACACCTCATTGCCTGCTGTAGCCAAACGGGAGAAAGTAAATGGTTACTGTATACAGTAAAATATTCAAACAGTAGATTGTGAATGATAAAATATAAAAAAAAAAAACATTATTTTATTATGAAATGCATCTATTAATATATAATTGGTGTTTTTGAACCACTTAGGGTGGCTGTACCTCAGGTGGTAGAGCAGGTCACCTACTAACCTCCACGTCTGCTCCAGTTTGCGTGCCACATATCCTTGGGCAAGATACTAACTCCAAGTTGCTCTCTGATGCATTCACTTAAGTATGAATGCATGTGAATGTTAGATAGAAAGCACTTGCGTAGAAAGAATATTTTAAAAAAAAATGGTTGTGTGAATGAGGCAAGTTGTATACAGCGCTTTGAGTGCTCAGAGTAGAAAAGCACTATATAAGAACCAATCCATTTATCATTTACCATTCCATTTACAGAATTACAGTCGAAATGCCAAACTCAGGAGGTTTTACAAGATCCTGTCCACTAACAGTGATGGAAAGAAAGAATTCATCTCTACTATGGAAGGTAACATGTATTAACTACCCTGTAGTTTCCATGCCATTCATTACATAATGGATTCTATTCTGCTGTCTTAAACACACAAAAAAAATTATCTGAATTTGAGGTCAGCATGAAATTTGGCATAACTATCCACCAGATGGCAGCACCACTGTACAACTCGAAACCTTGGATCAGTCCAACAGGAAAACTCTCTGATGACAGTCACTCATATTTTTCTTGTTTTAAATATAATTGATCACTCCATGATTCAGTGGTTTCCAAAGTGGGGGGGGGGGCGCAGAGCTGTGGGGTGGGCAGATATTCTTGTAAAACAGGGGGGCCTAGCTAGCAAAAAAAGCTGGGGAACCACTGCCGTAACTTGTTTTTAGGGAAACAACATTGGAATTAAATTTGCTGTGACATATTTTGTGTTGATGAACCTATTTTTTAAAAGTTTGTGCTGATGACAATGATTTGAAATAACAATATTAATAATGTCTCTTGTTTTCAGCCAACCATTACCCATTTTATGCTGTGCAATGGCATCCAGAGAAAAGTCCTTTTGAGTGGGTAGATAAGCCAGGAATGATTCATTCTGTTTCCGCTGTAAGGGCCAGCTTCTACACTGCCAGCTTCTTTGTTTCTGAAGGTAACACAAAGTCTGTCCAATCCAAGTCCAGCCTGTAGATATTAGGACAATCACGTATTTTGTTTTTAATAATTTGGCCTCTACACATCACTATAGTAGACTTGAAAATGAAATAATCAGGATTTGATTCAATTCAATTTTATTTAAAGTATACAGCACAAAATCACAACAAGAGTTTACTCAAGGAACTTGCTGTAATATTGTAAGGTAAAGACAATAATGGAGAGAAACCTAACAATCAGACAACCCCCCCTATGAGCAAGCACTTTGGCAACAGCGGGAAGGAAAAACTCCCCTTTTAACAGGAAGAAACCACTGGCAGAACTAGGCTCAGTCATCTGCCACAACGTTGGGGGTGAGTGGAGGGAGACAAGACAAAAAAACATGCTTTGGAAGAAAGCCAGAGAATAATAATAACTAATAATTAAATGCAGAGTGGTGTATGAACACATGGTGAATGAAAAAGGGGTGAGAGAAGGAGAAATGCTCTGTGCATCAAGCCTAGGTCTTATTGCAGCACAACTAAGGGTAGCTTCAGGGTCACCTCATCCAGCGCTAACTATAAGCGTTGTCAAAAAAGAAAGTTTTAACCCTAATTTTAAAAGTAGAGAGGGTGTCTATCTCCCAAATTCAAGCTGGGAGCTGGTTGAGACAGAAGAGGGGCCTGAAAGCTGAAGGCTGTACCTCCCATTCTGCTTTTAAATATCCTAGGAACCATAAGTAAGCCTGCAGACTGAGAGGGAAGTGCTTTACTGGGGGGATATTGTACTATAAGGTCTTTAAGATAAGATGGGGCATGATTATACAAGACCTTGTATGTGAGAAGAAGGATTTTAACAGGGAGCCAGTGAAGAGAAGCCAATCTAAGAGAAATATGTTCTCTTGCCAATCCCTGTCAGTACTCTCTCTGCAGCATTTTGATTAACTGAAGGCTTTTCAGGGAGTTTTCATGACATCCTGATAATAAAGAATTACAGTAGTCCAGCTTGAAAGTAGCAAATGCATGAACAAGTTTTTCTCTGCGATAGGATGTTTCTAATTTTAGAGATATTGCGCAAATGGAAGAAAGCAGTCCCACATATTTCTTAATGTTTGCATTGAAGGATGTATCCTGTTTAAAAATGACTCCAAAATTCCTCACAGTGTTACTGGAGGCCAAGATAATCCCACGATAACACTGAAGCACAGACATTTGGCTTTAATTTGAGAGGATCCCCAAACATGTTTACGATTTACAGCCACTTTTATGCACTGCTGCAAAAATTAAAGAAACTTTGAAAACATGTCAGATCTCAATAGGGGAAAAATGTTTAATAGCTATACTGATATGGCTTGGGTAGTGTGTTAGGAATTAAAGGATCTTACATTGTTTGATGGAAATTAAAATTATCAACTTATAAACAGGTGAATTCGAACACAGAAAAAAGTGAAAAATGATGCGGCATGCTATTCCGAAATTTCATTGCAGCAAATCAAAAATGGTAGTCGGTAGTTTGATGCAATACTGATTTTAAAAAGTGTCCTTTGTTTTGTTTTTTTGAGCAGTATATTTTGTTTTATACCTCTCAAAATTAAAACTTTAATCATTTGATTTTCTAGATCCCATCACTGAAATTGCATTTGATCATATTGTGTGTTTAAAAATATTTTTTTTTTTAATATAAAAAAAAGTACATTCAACAAACACTGTTATTGCCTAGAAACAGTAGTTCTGATGCAGAGCAAAACACTGACATTTTTAACTTGGTGATTAAATTTGAGATGTTTGTTGTGGTAAGGCATTTTGGAATTTGTGAATTAATGCAGCAAATGGTTCATTTATGTTTAAGTCATTGCTGATGCATAACAGTCATTCAGCACTTTTTATAAAGAGAGTAGCCTTTTTGCTGTATTATTAAACTACTCCACTACTTTGTGTTGTCTTTTCTTTCCTCCTTTTTCTCCTCCAGCCATGAAAAACCACCATCATTACCCCAGTCCTGATGAGGAGGACAAAGCTCTCATTTACAACTTTCCTCCTGTTTACAGAGGCTTTGATGCTGTTTTTGTGCAGAATTATTACTTTGATTGATGATCAGTGCTGAAGATGAACCATACCTGGTCACAGCCTAGTCCAAGTTAGTCAAATCTTGGTTAATTTTCTGCTTTAAACTTGATAGAGTTTCAACATACAGTGGCCTAAGAAATCAAGTCACAGATAAAATGCAGAAATTAAACTGATTAAAATGTAGTGATAGATGATAGCTGAAAATATGTCAGAATGCAAATAAAGTCCCAAGTAATTAATTTAGGAGAAAAAATAAAAAGGAAATGCTCAACAAGTGTATTTTTTTTTCTCCTGCAGTATTTTCAAGACATGTTGTTAGCACTGGTTTTAATCCAAATAAACCTTGCAATTTTGGGGGGGAGGGGGGAGTTACTAGTCTGATCATTTTTATTCCAGAATGTGTTTAAGCCACCTGCAGGATCCTTAACGTATGCTGCTAACTTTTTTTGTTTGTTTGATTTTAATTTATTTATTACTTTCACTTTATTTTTTGACAGCATTGCTTTGGGGTTAGGATCTATTAAGAGCGTCTTTATTCTTAAAAAGAAGTATCAGTATCTGTTGTAAGTTCATCTCACCTTGATTGTATTGTTTTGGACATAGGTGTGCATCCAAGTGTTTTATTTTTTACTAAGAAATGGTATATTTTGTAAAACATTGACTGAGAATGAAGCTTCTCTGATGATTTGCAGGTTGTTTTTGTCAGGTTTAATATTTCTATTGATATTAACTGGGGTTAAATTATGCTAGTAGGACTATACAATCAAAGTATAATCAAACAGATGGTACATGAATTTTGGATTTTAAAATTGCTGAACTCTTAAAAGTTATAGTATGATTTCATAACTTTCCCATCAGCAAATTTCCTAAAACTAGTACCGGTACATGAAAGGCTCATTCTTGTCCAAATTTTGTTTACTATTTAGCTAGTCATCTTAATTTTTTTTGATACATGTATTGAATGTACGATCGGTGGAGGTTGCAGTCTTGTTTGTATGTTGTACCATGTGTCAGATGATTAGACAATAAAGGGAGTTAAATAAACTTCAGTCTATCCAAGAGTCATTGTTTTGTCATGAAATAAAGGGGTGAGAAACAATGTTTAAAACCAGTACTGTAAAGTGATTTTTTTCCAGTGTTAAAAAAACAAATTCTACCACCCATATGCACTCACAGAAAACTGTATCAGGTAGGTGGGTCAACAAGAAGCCTGTTGCTGGAAACCTTCCTCAGAAATTTTGATTCATGCCGAGCAGTTGCTCTAGATTTGTTGTCTGGATATTCATGACGCCAGTCTTCCATCCCACTGTAAGAAGAGGGGTATACCATTGTCATAAAGGGAAGGATGTGGCTAACAACAATGCTCACGTAGGTTGTGACATTTAAACAATTCTCAAATACTGCTAAGGGGCAGAAGTCTTGTAAGAAAATATTCCCCACATTCAGACCACCACAACAGTGAAATGTACACAATACAAGGCAGAATGAATCTATGCTAATATGTTGTGCGCAGAGGCGGAGCCAGACATTTGAAACACCCGGGGCTTAGCCCTAAAGGGTAGTAGCCTATGCATGTGGGATTTTTTTTTTTT